AAAAAAAATTCATTGTATGACATATATAAAAAAGGTATTTTTCCACCTCTTCATATACTTTCATCTCCTCCATATCTTCCTCATCGTTGAAGACTGCCCCCGAAACTTTCCCTTCGAGATATCGAGGGCTCTCTATAATGCTACTTCGATTTAGCTAAATTAGTGTGGTAATAGTTTGCATTTATACCTAAGCTATCATAATCTCGAATGAGCTGTACGAGTTTATCGGAGTCTACGGCCTCAGTGGGAATTTCGGTCAGGAAAGGTTGATGACCATCATGCTCATGAATTGTTTTGTGCAGAGATTCTTCAGCTCTGATGATTTCGTCCTGAAATAAGATAGCACCAAGCTAAATCAATAATATATCAACCCACATTTACTCTTTTCTTCACAAATGGGAATGTTCTTATCAAAGAGAAAAATTGTTTTGCTAATCTTCTTCGAATCCCTAAAAATTAAATATTCAGCAAGAAAGATAACTATTAAAAATGGAAAGTTTGTGCAGTTCTGGACAAAAATTAAGTATACCTATATCATCTCTGTGAAGGTTCCATAGGTAGGTTATTGAATACGTAGAAAGCACAGTAGCTGAGGTTAGTAACAAAGGATTAATCCGTCGCAGAAAGTCAACGACTCTATCATGGGCATGCCAGGCGAGCTCTGTGGCAATGTCCATGAGCCTGTCAACATAGAAAATATTATTAACAACACTACATACAGGTCGGTTGGAAATACTGAGCTTATGACGATTGTGAGATCGCGGTATGTGAATGCTGCTCCAGCTACTGAAGTACAACGAAACAACAAGCACAAATTGTTTGCTTTAAACTGAACCAGTTTTTTTGGATGCCTGCTAGTTGCAAATTGATAACCCGCCTGTCTAGTACGATAACAGGGCAATCAGTGGAATGACGATAGTAAAAGAAGAAACGCGACGCAGTGCTCATAGTATGAGCGATCGGTGCCGGTCTGTGACCAACATTTTCATTGAGATTATGTCGAAAAGCCATATATGTGAGCTAAGATTGTTACAGATATGGTCTCGTATTCTCGCATTCGAAAGCAAAAAATATGAATTGCATGACATTTCAGATAACTCTTAACCTGCCGCTCACGTCTTTATAGTTAGGTAACATGCGTTTTCGTAGGTTTTGTTTATGATAAATTCGGGCATTGCTTTGCTAGAGACTAGAAACAGTTCAAGCTTTATTTGCAATGTAACACATTGGGTCCGCCACATCAGTTACAGGGTTCCCCAAAATTTTTCCTTCTGTTTGTTACTGTTTTGCCCCAGTGTTTCGCGGTCTAAAAGTATTAGTCCGGTGCAAAAGTTCTTTCCGTTTTTT